AGTTGTCATGATTCCTAGCCGACATTTGTCTCTTTTAACGAGTTCGTAGCTTGGTGCCGATGATGCCGACTACGATGCCGGCTAAACATTTGAGAAGGTACCAAGTCCACTGTCTGGTGCTGGGAATCATGACAACTACAATGGCAGACGAATTCGGACTAGGTGCGTTCTACTAAGTCGCCATGACAACAAGACCAAGTTGCGACAACGAGGTCAATTCATTTCCATAAATCGAAAGCAGACTGCGACCATACCAGAGGCCACAACATATTGGTTTTCATACCTTTATAAAGTTAGTTGATGGTCTGGCGATAGAAAGAGAAGATTTGCTGGCAAGTTTCGATATAGTGTCTATGTACACTAATATTCCGATAGAGGAGGCAATGAAGGCATTATAATTAACTCTAGGTCAATATTTTGAAGTTATGACGACTAAAATGTTAGGTAAAGATTGAATAATTAGATTAGTCAATTTGGCAATGTATAATGCATATTTTTCCTTCAATGATAAGTTGTTTTAGCAAACACAGGGCTTAGCTATACGATCTTGTTTACCCCTATTTTATCTGATAATTACATGGCCCAATTAGAAGTTCGTGTCTTTCAAGAGGCTCTCCTAATTCCTAAGCTATAATTTAGTTATATGGACGATTACTTTGCTGTTTGGCGACACGGTAAAGATTGTTTGGGTGAATTCCTTGAGTTAATAAATAGAATAGATTACAATTTTTAGTTTGCCATGTAGTTGTTAAGGGCAAGTAAATTAACTTTTTTTAAATATATTGGTGGACAACGAAGATAATAAGTTATGTATAAACGTGTATAGGAAACTTAAACACACATACAATACATATGGAGTCAGAATAGGAGATATGAAATCATTGATAATAAGGAGCCTGCGTCTAGCAGGGACCAGGAGACCGGTAGTTTGAGGCATATATTATATCAATACAATTACTACCCATTGGGATTAGCAGACAATTATGTATCAGTCTCGAAACTCTATTTATATACTAAAAAATATATATCACTTGTCATTAACAGGTTGAGGGGAGTTTGCTATCTGGGGCGGGATAGACAATTGGACCATTCCACACGGTTCCTGATTTTCCCTTTCTGCCAGCTTGCGAAAAAGTTGAATGATCTACCGAGGAAGTGGAATATAAAAACAAGTATAAGGAGAAATAATCCCTTTCTTCAGTAGATCCTTTATGCAGAAGACTTTTTGACCCAATTTTTAGATCAGGCTGCTACAAGGTTTCGTGCTTATGCCGATCCAGCTAGAAGAGACTATGCGAACGTGAAACTGCTTTTGGCTCCAAAAATCTTAGCTTGCTAGGCACATGGCCAATACAGGACACTCATTAGACCGGCTCAAAGCACAACGTTTCGCGGGTTACTGGGATTTGACATCAAAGCGGAAGATTAGGAAGTCTATATAAATTAGCAAAACAGCCATCTTCCTCAATAGGTGGGACGAATGTTGATAACTGAGTAGGATCTCTTTGTGGCTGATGTATGGTCTTAATGAGAGATATATATATATATAGAGAGAGAGAACAGGAATAACCACTTGATGAGAAGAGGCTGGATTAGCCTCGAGTCTGGCTATGATTATCACACTTCTCATGCTAAAAGCATTACATATTCACAGTAGACAATAGCACAAACGCAAACAAGAGTCAGCATTTCTGTAGGGAATAGCTTCCACCAAGCGCATTTTCGGTTCGTAAATTTAAGGTAGTCAACCAAATTATTGGATGCCTCATCAAGAGCGCAAGGAAAGGTGTATAACACAGCGCCTAGAGTTGCAGCCAACCATCTTTTCTCTTGGTTTAGCATGTCTTTGCTCTATTTCGCAAAGTATGCACTCTTTCTCTGGTACAGACGTTTTCGCACAATTCAACAGTGTTCCCTACGCAGCAATCGTCCTTCGGTGCCCGGTGGTACCACATCACTCGTTCTCTCCAGACAACTTTCCCTTCGAAATGGAAGGTCATGTCACAAAACATTCCGTTTCCATTCTCATTCTTGACTTGTTGCTTTTGCAAGAATGAGCCCCAGCTCTGAGGATATTCGTAATGGGACGAACGAAAGTTCGGCCCGTTTTTACAAGAAACTGGGGATGATATCTCGTGGACAGCGTCAACCGGAACGCCTTATTAAAGCCAAACGGCTGCGGTACAACGAGAATCGGCCGTCTTCTTCTGGCGGTCTCTACAGCAACGTTATCTTTGTTTATAAAGGGTAATTGGCAATGTTTGGTAATGGACCCAATCAAGAGTCGGGTTTCGAAGTTTTCTCGAAGACATTGCTTCGCCAGGCCGGACCAATTCTTGAAACAAGTCCTTCCTTTGATTCATCGTTGTCAAGCCAACTGGCTGTGCCACCAAAGCACCACTCTACCAATGAGCTCTCTTCACTCTTCACTCTGACTTTGTTGCCACCTTCGAGTAGTCCGTGTTGTTTTGTCATATTTCCCTGCCTTCATTTGTGATATCGTGGCTTCTCTGAGTGACACGTGAAAACTGTTTTCACAAATTCATATCAACATGGGACTAGACACACCAGAAAGCCTCCTTGTTTTACCCACGGTTGTCAGGGCGAATAGCAGCTTCGCAAGCAAGTCCTATAGTCTGCACATAATGTCTCCTTGATCAGGTCCTTATTGCGGCTACCCGCCTATCAACCAAAGGCATGTCCGGCCTGTATTCCCTGTCTCCGGTAGCCTTTCCGCGTTGCTGCGTTAGCACCTTCCCGTCTTCCCTCAATTCTTTCTGATCCCAAACCGTTCTTTCTGTCTCATTTATTCACGTAACATTATTGCGTACATTCACATACACACATATATATGCACACATGCATACATGTATACATACGTGCATGCACAACCAGGCAAATCTACACATACATACGCTCAACATGGCTCACAGATACAAACGCGCGCGCACACACACACACACACAATCAATTTTAAACATAGATTGAGGACGGTACACTTTTGGCATTGCGTCGCCGATATCTCGACCATTACCGTTTGGGATTCAGCTCCACACCTTTCCTGGCACACTTGCCAGACTTTCGCAATAATGCCTTTATAGCCGTTGTGCTGCCA